GCCCCATGCTCAGCAGCATTACTCTCGACAGGGTTCAGAACTGTAGTACTCAAATGTTCTCTCAGCTATTTCAGAGCCTCACAACATGCTGGGTACAGCCACTGTGACACAATAAAGAATGCTGGGTCCCTTCTAAACAGGGCTACCGTGTGCAAGGAGGCGTGCTCTGGGCCGCTCCCCATGGCCTCAAGGGGCACTAGTCTCACACAGGACATATCCAGCTTCCGCTGTGACAGTGGAGAGTACAAGGACAAGACATTCTCTTTTATTCCCTCACTCATGGACCAAGCCTGCTTGGGCCAAGCTAGGGGACAGAGGGCACCAGAGGCCACACCTGAGGCCTTGTGCACCTGACGCAGGTGCTGGGCTGGGAGCTGTCCACGAGGCGCTGCATGCGGGACAGGACAGGGATATCCAAGCTCCTTTACTCCAGAGGAAACACCTCCCTCCTCTCTATCAGGCTTTGCCTCCATGCCCTTGCATGCCCCTGTCCTGGCCAGAGAGTGCTCATGGCTATATGAATCCAGGTGCCTGGGCACAGCTCCCTGAAAAATCCCGTTTCTCTCCTACTAAGCAAATGGAAAGGTGGAGTGCCGCATAGTGTCCACATCGACAAGCATTTCCTTAACACTATCTGTTTCAGTAAAAAGCTCTTGTGGAGATATGTGCTTTGCTAGCAGCCAGAAGACTCATTTCTGATGAAACCATTTATTTTGGGAGTAGTTCTTTCCATTCAGATCAACATCTCCCTGTGCACAATGACACCAGGGAGGATTTTGGCAAGGGTAGCTGTTCTTGGTGTGGCTGTTCAGGGATCAACTGTTTTAATAATATTTTCACCTGTGATTTGAGTGGGAAGGTTGAGCCTGGCTCAAATGCTTAAGGAACGTTTTGACAGATCTGTTAGTATGGTGCCAACACAGGCTTTCCTCTTCCTAAGATATTCGGCCTCTTCCAGCTGGGCAGACCCTGAGCTGGCTCTGCCTGCCCACTTCATACTTTAGGAGTCCATCCTGCCCCTCTGCAAACTCCTGACCCAAAGGGACTTTCAGGAAAGGATCCACATATGCAATGCAGTGTCACATCACCGACCTGCCCTGGCCTGAGTGGACACAGGGAGGTTAGGTGGGTGGTCACAGTGGTGCATGCCCTGGATGTGCTGGTGGCTTTGGGATGCAGGGTGTTGAAGGATGTGTTGGTAATGCACAGGTCCATAGACACTGAGCTCAGGACAGTGACGCTATGGCTGGGATGGCGAGGGTGGGGGGTTGGGGGATGGAAAGTCAGGGCCCATAGAGGAGGTAACCGTTCCAGTGGTGTGAGGATGGTAGTGCTGACGGTGATGTGAGTGTGTGCGTGCGTGTGCGTGCTAACAATGGGACCTAATACAGAGGATAACAAGAATGGTGGTGGTGATGGTGCTGGACATGGCACAGGTAGTGGCTCGGACAACAGTGTTGGGGTGACAGCAGTTGAGCCTGGCCCATGTCCCTATACACGATCCACAGGATTAAGGCACCCACAGTGACCCCCTTGTCACATTCCACCCGGGGGTGGCCCACAGTTGTGCCCTCCTTCCACCTGAGTTGTTCCTGCATGCAGGTCCCAGGCCCCAGATGTCCCTCTGGGAGGGGGTCCTGCTAGGGCCTGAGCCTGGGTGGTAGGCACAGGGAGAAGGCTCAGGGCAGAGCCCCTGTACACTGCCAAAGACGCTAGCCCTCCCGGCCCTGGTCTGCAAAGCAGCGGATGGCTGCTGGGCCAGGGTCACAGCCTCCTTTTCCCCGGGCCTCTAGTGTCACTTGGGGACCTCGGAAGTGGCCAGAGGAGGGGTCATGACTCTTTTAGGCCAGGTGTCCACTCGGGAAACTGCAGCCGAGGCCGTGCGGCCACTGACACCTCGCTATCTGCCAAGGGGTCAGGGCAGCGCCCGGGTTCCCACTCGCCCGACGTGGCAGCGGGGAGGCGGCAGTGCCGAGG